TGGCAAGTTTGCTCTCAAGAATCAAGACACTTTCAAACAAATGCAGTGTTGAGCATCTGTTATGGCTTGTGTTAACGTGTCCCCCAAAGCCTCATGCAGTCACAGCTGGGAGTTCTGAAGGTGGCTGGACTAGGGTGTGTGGCACTGGGATTAAGGGCATGGTGCCTAGATTAAATACGCCCCACCCTGGGTGTATGTGGCATCACCCAAAGTGCTGGCAGACTGGATGGAAACTAAAGGACAGAACGGAGCTGCTGTGCTGCCTCCTGCCTGCCAAGAACTGTTTTTCCTCTGCAGTGCCCCTCTGCCATGCCACCAGCCATGGAGCCAACCATGGAGCTATGGATTGAAACTTCTACAGCCCAAAAGCCAAGAGAAACCTTTCTTCCTTTAATTTGGGGTTGGGTATTTTGTCTTAGCATAGGAAAAGTAACTAAGACAGCATTGCTCCCCCACAGACTGTCAAACAGATGTGCTTCAGGAAGAAGGGAAATGAACCCAGGAAGAAGGTCAGAGATGCAGGGGCTGGGAAGTGACAGATGTGGTGACCTTGTGGGTGTAGTAAACCCTGACAACGTACAAGCAACAGTCAGAGAAATTTATGGAGTTAAAACGTTGAACTAAAATACCAGAAAAAAAATGTGTGAGTCAGAATAAACATAATTCTGGAGTAACGCCTTGTAAGATGGTTCTATTGTTGGAGAGGAAGAATAGATTATTTATCGACCTAAGACCACAGGGTGTTAAAATGTAAGGGAATCACTAAAGGGTGGAGATAAGTGACGTGGTGCAGTGTAGTGGTACAGCACTAAGCATGGCAAAAGGAAATCAAAAGTAGAGATAATATTAGTAATGGGCTGATTTGCAGACTGCGCATCCAGTTAAAGACAGCGAGATCTGACTAAATAGGGCTGGGAGTGTAGTTCAGTGGGCCCAGTGGTAGATATTCGTCTAGCATGAAACAGGCCCTGTGCTCAATCTCCAGAACCAAAACCAAGTAACAAAAACAGTATTTCAATAATAAAATTAATAGAGTTGATCACACGGACATATATAGAACTTTTCATACAGCATTTACAGAATGTATTCTTGAGTTTGGATGGAGCATTTTATAAAACTTTTTTAAAAATTTTTTTAAATTTTAATTTTGTTTTTATTTTAAAAAGAACAAAAGAAAACAATGAAACAAAGCAAATCAGAACAGGAAAATGCAAGCAACACAGCACTTCACAACAAAACAAGCGGACATCAACAGTAGCTAACATAATGTCTCTTTTCTTTGAAACAGTTGAGCATATCTTCACACACAATAATATCAAACGTAACAATATAGTAAAAAAAAATTCAAAAGAATGAAAGCATTACAGGACTTCAAAACCAAATAACAGGAAATGAACCATGGCTGCTATAATACCTCATTTTTCTCTAAAAATTTGTCTATAACATCACACATAATAAAATCAAATAAAGCACAACAGGATAGAACTAATCAAAACAGAAGAACAAAAGTATGGTAGGACTTCACAACAAGATGATAGTAAATCAGCAGTAGCTACCATAGTGTCTTGTTTTCTTCAAAGTAGCGTTCATACCATCTCATACAATAAAATCAAACAAAATAAACAAAAAAAAAAAACAAAAATAAAATCAGACCAATGAATGAAAGCATTATAAGACTTCAAAACAATATAATAGGAAACCATGATTACCGTAATATTTCCCATTATATTCAAAATAGCTGCCCTTACCATCTGAAAGCATAAAATCTAACAAAAGACAGAGCAAAGCCAAACCTAATAAAATTATGTACACAATGCAAGAGTTCAAGATAAGACAATAAGAAACTGACAGGACTTTCCACCTTTCCCTCCCTTTGCTCTTTTTTTTTTTTTTTTTTAATTTTACTTAAAGAAAGACTAAACAAAACAGAAAATGGGTAGAAATAATACATACTTTCAAAGAAAGACTAAACAGTAAGAAATCACTAGTTGATATTTAAATATTGTCCTCTTACAAATAGTTATACAAGATACAAAAGTGGAGCATGTAAAGTGGGGTTTCAAACAGCGATACTGCAACCAGTTCTGTTCAACAAAAAAATCACTCTGAGCAAAGAATAACAGTATTGCTGGGTTTCACATTATGTTACTCCCGGATCAGCACTGGGTACTGTAGTGTCTTTTTCTTCAAAGTATTTGTTCATTTCATCATGTGTCATAAGATCAGTTCTCATAAACTCTTTATTGGTTCTAAGCATGCATGAGTCTTAATATGTATTTCTATCCTTTCTATATTAGAGGGAGAAACAAAACAAAGCGAGACAAAACAGAACATATTCTTATAAACACACGAAATGAAAAAGATATATAAGACCACTGTACAAGGGGTTCTACCATGGTTACTGTGTTGTCTCTTGCTATCTTCAATAGAATTGGCTAAATCATCAGACATAGTATAACAATATATCAGTATATAACAGTATTAATAAAAACACAATTTTGTATGTAGTATAAAACTTCAAAAACAGGTAGTAATCAAGCCAGAATGGGTATCATAGTGAGTCCTGTCATCTTCAGTGTAATTGCCTAAACTTTCAGACTTGATACTATCAATCATATAAGTTTTGAATAAAATCTGTCAATACCAAACAGCAATCAAACAAACCAGATTTAACTAAGATCAGTCATGATAAACTAGTATAAGTCATACAGGGCTCCAAATTAAGTGAATAGGAAATGAAAGGTGTTTACTGTGTTATAACCTGGTGTTTTTAGGATAGCTGTCTGTGCCCTCAAATATAATGCAAGTAGACAAACTGGGACAGAATAAAATCTAACCCACTCTCTTCTGCCCTTACATCTCCTCACCAACGCCTTCAGGCTTGCCCGCCACCAGCTTCACTGTGCCCGCCCATCTCTGGGTTCCAAAAGTCGCATTTTAAAAAACTTTGATCACACTGCAGGCTATGAAGGAAATCTGCACAAATTTCAAAGCATAAGTTCCTCCAGATCACTTTCTCTTACCAAACTGTGATTAAACTAGAGACTGACAACATGCTACTAACATTAGCCTTCTATGTTAAGATGTTTTTTAAAAAACACATCTTAATTTACTTTGTGTTCCTGGGGGTCAAACCCAGGGCTTTCTGCATGCTAAGCAAATGCTCTACCACTGATTTGTACCCAGCCCCTTAATACTGCACCCTCCTCCCCCAAAAACCATTTGTAAATTACCTTCTAGGTCAAAGACAAAAAGCAAATACTTGGACAATTTGTATTCACTCATTTTGCCTTACTATAACAAAACACTTGAGGATGGATACTACTAATGGGAAGAGGTTTATTTTGCTCACAGTTTTGGAGGTAGAAAGTTCAAGCAGCTAGGTAGCAGCTGTTGTAGGGGTGGGCTGGCCCCCGCACATCCGGGTTGGAAAGTGTAGGAGAAGAAGAGATCACACCATGAGTCAGGAGGTCAGAGAGATTGGGAGGGAGAGCCCTGCTTTGGTACAACGCTGTCTTTTTCTCTGTTTTTTTGAGACAGGTTCTTGTGCAGTTCAGGCTGGCCTTGAACTCATTATGGAGCCCAGGCTGACCTCGAACTCATGGTAATTCTCCTGGATCCACCTCTTGAGTGCTGGGATCACAGGTGTCAGATTTCTCTTGAGAACTAAAGTTCCATAAGAACTAAGACAGTTCCTTCCAAAGCAGCAGCCCAACGACCTCCCGCTAGACCTCTTTTAAAGTTTCCATCACCTCTCATCACCACATTGGGAACCAGGATTCCAACACGAGGGGACACACTTAAACTGCGTCCAAACCATGGTGGTCACAGTTGTACAGACACTGCCAAGGATGAGACAAAACCACTATCTGCAGACCGTGTGGTTACACAGCCGGAAGCCCTAAAAGAATCAGATGACAGATTACTAACAACAAAAAAGAAGGAATCAGTCAGATGGTGAGGTTCACAGTTGCTGAAGAGAAGACCAAATAACCATTTAGGATGACAAAGATGAACATGTAGAAATGGAAAAATACCTTTCATGTAACATTTTTATGCTGTTTTGATTTTTTTTGCCACAATGTAAATATACACCTAGTCAAAAACAAACAAAACAAAATGAAACAAACGAACAACCAAAAAACCCCTTTCCGGTTGTTGAACTTAGTGAGTGTCTCATTTCTTGAGGATCTGTAAAGACTTTCCAAGGGACACTCAGGTGTGCATCTTTCACTGTTGCTTGTTTATTTCTGAGACAGGACTTTCCTGTGCTGCACAGACTATTCTTGAGCTCCTGGGCTCAACTGATCCTCCAACCTCAGCACCCTCTTCCTCAATATCAAATGAAAAGTGGCCACATGAATCCTTTGTGGACGCGTCAGTGTCACCCTTATCTTGGCTTCTGAGTTTGCTGGTGCGGAGCGCCAACAAGAGGAGGGGGTGGCAGTCAGTGAAGATCACCCGAAGGCAAAGGCAAAGCTCCTTTGTGCCGAGCTTGCTGTAGCGAAAGAGTCTGATTTTAGCACTTGGACTTGGCCAGACTTGATGGGGCAGACAGAGGAGAGGAAGAGACATCGGTGGAAAAAGAGATGACTTCTGGGGTCCTGCAATTGGAGGCTGTTGCCCTGGAGAAGCTGGGATATGGCTGACCAGAGTGGAGCATCCTAGGTGATTAGTTCAGGGGAATGAATATACGTGGCACCCTGTGGGTGTCCCTAAATTGGGAGCAGGGACAAGAATTAGGAAGCTGTCAGCTGCTGATCAAGTTTTTGCCTTTGGGGCTGACTGTTCCAGGTTACTGTTGTGGCAGGGCTTCCTGGGTTGTCACTAGACCTTCTGCAAGGCTGGATGCCTGGACTGGTCCTGGAGGTGACAGGCTTGTGCACAGCTGCACCTGCAGACTGGGCCAGAGCTCTATTTTTATACCTGCTCTGGCTGTCACTTGCTCCTAAATTTAGTCTCTCAAATGACATTCCCAGTTGCCTCCTGACTGGGTCACTGCATCTGTGGTCTTCACAGAGGTCGCAGGGTCTTAAGTGACGCTTTCCACAGAACTCTCTTGGCCCCAGTGCTGGGAACCTGCCTGCAGTCCAGTCTGTGGTCCTCAGCAGGGCACGGTGCCCACTTTTACTTGCCTCAGGATGCAGCATTAGTTGGGACAATCCACATGGTGTTTCCCAAGAGGAAATCTCGTGAGACCACCACCCTGCGGACTTCTGGTTCAAAGGACCAGTGGGACTCTCCAGAGGGATAAGGATCCTATCCTATCGTCCTCAGCTCTGGAGAAATGCAGTAAGTTTGGACTTTAGAACTATGTTCCTTTTGGAATTTGCTTCTCCAATGAGTCTGAGAGCACACTGGCCCACATGGGGTGAGGGGACGGCACAGCACCAGCCAAGATCTGGAACCTGCCTGTCGCCTCCTGCATACCATTTGACTTTGATGCTCAACACAAAAAGAAAACTCCGGCTGTCTGCCTCTCCCTCAGCTCAGAGGAAGGCAGCCTTGCTTACAGGGTAACTGGGAGACACTCCCCGGCCAGGTCTGAGTGGAGAGGTCTCAGCAAGCTTGTAGGACACAGCCAATGTCCCTGAAACTGAGGGATGTCAGCTTTCTTCACACTCCTGGTGATATATAAACCGGACAGTGGCTGAGAACAGAGATGAAAAGTGGCCAGGAAGAAGAATCTGGATATCTCAGAAAGCATCCAAAGCAGATTACAGAACCAGGACATAGCAATTGTCTAAAGCAAAATGACAGAGACCCACACACTCTGTCTCACACACATGGCCAGAAAGCACTGTGTCAAAATGTTAGGGTAGTTATCGCTGGGCCCCAGGATGACAGCATTTTTTCCCTTTTTGCTTGCATTTTCTCTTTTTTCTGCAAGGGACTTAAAGAACAAGGGTAAGTGTACTGACCTACCTCTGGAGGGCTTAGCTCTATATTCTGATTCCACCTCTGATTAATTGTGTGACCCTGTACAGCTTATTTAACCTTCCAGTCTCCAACTTTCTCATCTATGAAATGGGGACAATAATGTTCTGTCCTCACAGGACAGATGGGGGAATCAGTGGGTGGATTTATATGGAGTGTTTCAAACAATGAGTGGCATGTGACAGATTACATCAACACAGACATCGTGATTATTATCGCCCTTCTTACATTGTTCATATTTTTAAGGTTGAGAAACTCCTCATTTGATAGTAAAAGAAGACTGTATGAACTCAGAACATGGACTAAGAGCCAGACTTGATGATATGCACCCGTAGTCCTAGCTATGTTGGAAGGTTGTGGCAGTAGGATTGCTTGAGCCCAGGAGTTCAAGGCCAGCCAAGACAACATAACAATACCCTGTTTCAAAAAACAGAGTCAGGTGTTGTGGTGCATGCCTGTAATTCCAGTATGTGGTAGGCTGAAGCAGGAGGGTTGCCACAAGTCCAAGACCAGCCTGAGATACATAAGGAGTCCAAGGCCAGTCTCAACTAGAAAGCAAGACCGTTACAAAGCAAAGCAAAACAAAACAAAACAAATAACAGGACAAAACAAAAATCCCTAGAACTTAGACTGAAAGAGTGGTCCTCTATCACCAAGACTTTCTGACCCTGTGATCCTGTGCTGTGAGCAGGTTGTTCAAACCCTCAACAGACTCGGCTGCTTAGGCCATCACAGGCAGCTTCATTCTTGTTAGGATCTTGGGTTTTGACAGAGAGAGAGAGAGAGAGAGAGAGAGAGAGAGAGAGAGACAGAGACAGAGACAGAGACAGAGAGAGAGAGAGAGACAGAGACAGAGAGACACAGAGAAATGGTGCTACCCTACAAGTAAAACCTCAGCCTACCAGCAGAGGGCAGAAATGGCAAATCTAGGAAAAAGAGGGCTGGCAATTCAAGCTTCTTTCTCTGACAACAGTGACAGACAGCTTACAGACAGTGATCTGTAAGAGGATTTCTGGGCAGTGATATAATCCTTGTACACTTTTTGAGGGAACACATAGAGTTTTCACCATAATTTAAAGTAGTTGCAAAGGGCTGATGCACAGGAAATAGAAACATTTTAAAATAAAATGATTACATCATTCTTTTAAATATATCCAGTGATGTCCAGACACCATGGTAACTTGGGACTGTCATCCACTTTAAAATACAAAACTAAGCTCTTCTCTAATAGAAATTTCCCTTCTTTCTCTGTGTATTTTCATTCTTTCTCCCCATAAACTTATGATGGTATGATTTTATGCTTAAGGTCTTTTATTTACCACCCTAACACACTTTTCACTACATAAATATAAATCTAAATTGAAAAGTAGAGCATCTTATTCCGAGATCTTCAGAATCTCATCACTGTCATTTGTCTTTGGTGTGGAAGTCTCACTCTAACTGATATTAGTGCTGCAAACAGCACAGGTGTATTACAAGGTTCTGGCATTGTCTGCTTGTGTCCTTGTTACTTGACAAGTTTTTAAGGGCTGGGCAGTTTGCTCTAGCGAGGTGTGATGTGGCTGGGAAGGTGGCATTCTTTGTTAACAATGACCCATGAGAGGAGAAGCAGAAGGAAGACCCAATACACACAGGGCAGTTGAAATAAGGGACCTGAGGGCCAGGAGGGTGAGTTCCTCTAAGCCGCCCTTGTCACATATTCCTTTGGAAAGCCTTCCTGTGTTGGGGTTGCCTGCGCCAGCTCGCAGGTGCTATCAAGAATTGCTATGGAGGCCAGGCATGTGTGCACACCTGTCATCCCTCCTTCTGGGGAAGCCGAGGCAGGAGAAGTGTAACCTGGGACCAGCCTGGTTAACTTAGTGAGACTGTCTCAGCATAACATTTTAAAAGGCCCAGAGATGTGGCTCAGTCACTGGTGGAGAACTTGCTCTGGGTTTAATCCCTAGTACTGAAAAAACAGAACAAAACAACCCAGCCAGCAACAACAACAACAAAATCCCTGCTATAGATAGAATGCCCAGGCGGAGCCAACTGGCCACTGGACAGCGTGCTGGGGTAACCACAGCAGAGCAGATGAACGAGCCCAAGGACAAAGCATTCTCCTAACCCCAGACCCTTTTTTTTACAAATACGTGGCCCAGGAGAGCTCAGAAATCACAGATCGAAGTCAACCCAAAGGACCCCATGAGCCAGAGTCAGATGAAAAGTTATGAATGGAAAGATTTAAAAACTTCAGTGTTCTCAAGTGACTTCATTATTGATGGCTAGGAAGAACACAGCACAGTCTCTGGTAGTATTTTGGTTTTCAATGTTTTATATTATGTTAAAGTACTTCAAGCGTAACACTTGCATATGTCTACATGCTAAATTGATTGCCTTACTTACTGAAATCATTCCTAGCTCTTTAAATTCCATTGTTTGGCAAGTCATGTACATTAAAAGTGAAAAAATTTAAGTACTTGAAATGCATGTGCTTTTTTAACTTACAAGGTAAGGATGGCTCAGCTTGGTCTTCAGCCTTTTGAAGATCTTTTGTGATGTCTGGTCTTAGATGTTTTGCAATGGGACACAAGTCCATTGTTTTTTTTTTTTTTAAACTAAATTATTAATACAAAGAAAACAGGTTCATTCAGCTCATAGTGTTGGAGGTTGAAAGGGCAAACAGCACACACAGCTCTTGTGCAGGTCCGCTTGACTGTATCATATCTTGACAGGAACGTGTGCAAGAGGCGTGAGCACATGTGGGGGGGAGCCAGACTTGTTCTTTCAAGAAAAACACGGGGTGGGGGGAGCTGGGGATTTAGCTCAGCGGCATAAGCACCTGCCTTGCAAGCAGGCGGTTGTGAGTTCGATCCCCGGTACCGATTAAAAAAAAAAAAGAAACACACGGGGGGGGGGCATGTGGACTGCTTTAATCTCTGCTGAGGGTAGCACCACTGACCTCCCACCAGCCACCCTACCTCTTCCGAGTCCTGATACTTTTCATATCACCACACTCAGGACCAGATTTCCAATGCACGAGCCCTGGGGGGACCGAACAACAAACACGGACCACAGTGGTGCGGTCTTAACGGAAAGAACAGGTTTTGTTTTATTTTGTTTTGTTTTGAGATCGGTCTAACTATGCTATCCAGACTGATGTTAAACTTGTGAGCTCAAGGGATCCTTTTGCATCAGCCTCCCAAGTAGCTGGGACCACAGGTGTGAACCGTGGAAGCTGGCTGGAAACTGGCTTTGGAGTTAGATGTATTTGCTTTCAAATCCTGGTTTGATTTTAAATAAGCCTCTTTCTTCTCATTTATGAATAATAACTAATAATATGATTATCTCACTTGTTTTAAAATCAAATTATGTACTGTTTCAGTGTCTGGCCCTTAGAGACTTTCACTGGTAGGTATTCTTTTGTTGTGGTTTTTATACTGTGATGGGTCTCAGGACCTTGACCTGTTGGTCCAGATCTTCCCCTAGTTTCCTGCGTGGGAAGTCCCTTTACTGACTCTTGGGCCTAGTGACTCAGTGTGTCCAATGCAAGGATTATATGGATGTTCGTTAAAGCCCATCCAGCTCGAAGCTCTCTAACTCTAAACTTCCGTGACTTCGCTGTTCACATAGATCCATGGAAGGTGCATGCCTGGGAGAGCAAAGAAAAACACTCAGATCCCACCCAAGGCGCAGGACACCAAACGTGCATTTTAACGAGATCCACAGGTGATCTGGAGAAGCGCTGCTGCACTGTTCCTGATTCAATCAATTTGAAGGCTGGGGGTAGCTGGAGTGGAACCACAGTACTGTGAAAAGATGTTTCCTAGGCACAAGTGAAAGCCCTAGAGAGAAAATGTCCTGTGCATCACTGTTGTACTAGTGTGGATGGATGCAAATGTCTTTTACCAAGGGGAGCTGATTAGAGCCGTTCATTCCTGGGTCTGCCGAAGTCTGCAGTTTCTCTAAAGAAACTTTCAAACTATGCTCAAGCAGTGTATTTGGAACGGGTTAATTTACTTCCCCATGTAGGCAGCATTTAGCCAGTTCAACAGAGCAGTGCACAAAAGATTTGAATTTGTACTTTAAAAAATAGATAGTCAAACGACCAATACATACATGGCACGTATCATTAGCCCTCAGGGAAATGCAAATTAAAAGCACATTACCGACCTGTGGTACGCACCTGTCATTCCGGCACTCAGGAGGCTGAGGTAGGAGGATCTGAATGCCAAGCCAGCCTGCACTACATGGCAAGTTCGAGGCTAGCCTGGTTACATAGCAAGACTCTGTCTCAAATAAACCAAACAAAACAAAACTATAGACAGACAACACAATAAACTACGGTCACATGCATGCTACAATATCAGAAAGCTACAATAAAGTACAGCAAATGGAAATTTCCAGCACTGTTAGTGTGTTTGTAAACTTGTAAACCTCTGGAAAACTTTAGGAAACTTACAGCCCAGGTTTATTCTTAGATATATACTTATGATATATACTTACGCTCACTAAAAGACATCCAACTGCTCCTAAGGCATCATGTATAATTTATCCAAACTGGAAAAATCGCAAATGTTCCTGTGAAAAACAATAAATGAATTAGGTGTGGCCTAGTCATGCAGTAGAGTGCAGTACAGAAATGAGAATTAGCAAATTGCAACCACATATAGCAATGCAGATAAATCTCACCATTGGGATAAGGCCAGTGAACCATGCAGATGACATACAGTTGAAAATAGACATAATGGATCTGTAGTTGTATTGGTTTCCTGGGGCTGCCATAAACAAATGATCACAAATTTGCTGACTTAACACGAACTTATTCTCTCACAGTTCTGGAGTGCAGAAATCCGGAATCAAGGTGTTTGCAGTGCTACATTCCCTTCAAACATCTCGGGGAGGATCTTTCCTGGACTCTTCCAGTCTGTGATGGCTACAGCTTTCCTTGGCTTGTGGCCCCATTACTCTCATCTCTGCCTCCATCTTTA